GGGTTGGCCTCTCAAGGTAAGCCCCTGTTTACCAGCCCCTCCTATGCCCCTCCTTTGTCTTTCCTGTTTTGGCTGCCGTTTTTCTGCATGCTGTAGCTGTTGAATATCATGCACTAACTTTGTTTTCTGCCTCCCTCCCCTCCTGCCCCCCTCCCCTCCTGCCCCACCAGGTCACCTGGCACCATTTGAAGATTCCAGTAGAGGAATCTGAGCAGCTGACAGCAGGAGAAGCAGCAGGAGCAGCAGCAGCAGCAACGACAGCAGTTCGGGCCGGGTGGTTAGAGGGCAGGCTAGGAGTAGGATTAGGAGTGTGGGAGGTATAGTAGCAGGTCAGGTATGGTCGTCGCATCTCTCTGTTCCCTCCTTCCTTCCTGCAGCATGTGGATCTGGAGCCTTGGAGCACGGGCAGGAGAATCGAGCCCACCCCCTCGCTCACCTCTTCTCCTCTCCCGCTCTCCTTCCCCAGAAGCATCACGCCGTGAGGAGAGTGCAGTTCCCACCCTCACCTCCCCTCCCCCTCCTTAGCAGGTTGCAGCAGCATGGTGCTCTATCCGGCAATGGTACGCGGAGTGGAGGCTAAGGTGGTGGTAAGTTAAGGGGACGGGGCGGAGCTTGGGGGTAGGGGGGGGGTGTGGTTCGGCAGCATTGGAGCAAGCATGCAACTCACTCCCTTAGGGGGCAGCACCCTCTGTGGTTCGTGGCTTGTTGGTCGGCGGTGGTCAGTGGAAAATGCGTGGCACGGCAATCGTTCCTCAAGTACCAACACTAGTGGCGTATCGTATAATGGAACCGGCCAGAGCTGTGCGCGCCAGCTCTGGTTGGGAGTCCCCTCCTACGACGCTGAATGTGGCGGGATTTGAGTCTTGGGCCGCCCGTGCATTTTCCACTGCCACTACTCGCCCTGCAAGGCACAGCCGTGGGGGGTGCTGTTTCCAAAGGGGAGTGGGTAGCTTGCTGCTCCTAGTTCTTGGAGGGGGGAGGTGGGGAGGAGAAGGTGGGGTTGGGAGGTAAGCTGGGAGGAAACACCCCCGGGGAAAGTTGAGTGAGGGGCGATGGAGGCGTGTGCAAGCAACCACTGTAAGTTGAGTGAGGGGGAGAGGGGAAGGGGGGGCAGAAGCCCCCCTGGGGTGAGGAGAATGATGGGCAATGGAGGCGTGTGCAAGCAACCATTGTAAGTTGAGTGAGGGGGAGAGGGGAAGGGGATGCTGAAACCCCCTAGGGTGAGGAGAGTGATGGCCATTGGAGGCGTCTGCAAGCAACCACTGTAAGTTGAGTGAGGGGGAGAGGGAAAGAGGGATGAGAACCCCCAGGATAAGTTGAGTGAGGGGCAAAGAGGGGCGGTGAGAACCCCACAGTAGTGTGGGAGCAATGCAGGGGAGGGGGTCAGAGCTACCTGGGTAAGGCTTGCAAGGGGCAGGGGGGGAGAGGGGGGTTTAAACCCTCAGGTTGAGGTGAGCAAAGGGCAGAGGGACCCCCCCCTTCTGCCTTGGGCTCGCCTTAGCCTGGGGGTTTCAACTCCCCTCTCTTGCCTCTCAAGCGTCTTACCTTGGGAATTCCAACCCTCCTCCCGTGTCTTGCCCTTGTGCTGCTGTGAGGGTTTCAACTTTCACCCCCTCGTCTGCCCTAAGGCGGGTGATTGGAGGGTAAGGGTTGAGCCTAGAGCTCCACATGACAGGCAGCAAATGATGATGCCCCACGTGTTGCCTGATGCAGTAAGCCCTGTCATGAGGCTCGCTGGTTTACCCCTTCCACTGTGGCCCGGGTGAGGGGGAACAGACCCTAAATATAGAGGTGAGTGAGATGGGTGAGGGGGTTTCGGACCCCAACTATGGAGGTGAGTTAAACGGGTGAGGTGTGGGGTTTTCATACCCCAACCATTGAGGTGAGTAAGGTGGGTGAGGGGGTTTTAGACCCCAACTATAGATGGGTGAGGGGGTTTCCGACCCCAACTATAGAGGTGAGTGAGATGGGTGAGGGGGGTTCGGACCCCAACCATAGAGGTGAGTGGGATGGGTGGGGGAGAGGGGAAAGAGGGCCTGAAACCCTTAGGGTATGTTGGGTGCTGGGCAATGGAGGGGGGATATTTTGAGTGAGGGGCAATGGAGGGCATCTGCAGCCACTGGAGAAAGTGAACAGGGCTGGAGGGAGGAAAGGCGGGTCCTGGGTAAGTTGAGTGAGGGGCAAAGGAGGGCGTCTGCAACCACCAGAGTAAGTGGAGTTAGCTGGGGAGGAAAGAAGGGCCCTGAAACCTCCTGGGTAAGTTGAGTTAGGGGCAAATGAGTGGGGCTAAAACCCCCCAGGGTGAGGGGCAATGGAGGCGTCTGCAGCCACCACTGTCAGTTGATTGAGGGGCGAAGAGGAGTGGTGAGAACCCCACAGTAGTGTGGGATAAATGCAGGGGAGGAGGGGGGCTGGAACCCCCTGGGTAAGGCTTGCGGGAGAGGGGAGTTGAAACCGTCGGGTTGAGGCAAGCAAAGGGCAGAGGCAACCCACCCCCCTTCTGCTTTCGGCTCGCTTTAGCCTTGGGGTTTCAACCCCCCTATCTTGCGTCTCTACAGCCTTACCTTGGGAGTTTCAGCCCCCCCCCCCGTGCCTTGCCCTCGTGCTGCCATGGGGGCTTCGCGCCCCTCTTCTGACTTAAGGCGGGTGAGTGGAAGGGAAGGGTTGAGCCTAGAGCTCCACACAACAGGCAGCAAATGATGATGCCCCGCGTGTTGCATGATGCAGTAAGCCCTGTCATGTGCCTTAGCCCTGTCCTGATATTTTGGGACAGGTGCGTGGGGTCCAGATTTCAACGAGAGGTGAGTGAGACAAGTGAGAGGGGCTCATACTTCAAGTATAGAGGTGAGATAAGTGAGGGGATTTCAGACCCCAACTATAGGGGTGAGTGAGATGGATGAGAGGGTTTCGGACCCCAACTATAGGGGTGAGTGCGATGGATGAGAGGGTTTCGGACCCCAACCATAGAGGTGAGTGAGATGCGTGAGGGGGTTTCAGACCCCAACTATAGAGGTGGGTGGGCGTCTGCAATCACCAATGTAAGTTGAGTGAGAGGGAGAGGAGAAGGGAAGGCTGAACCCCCCCCTGGCTGAGTTGAGTGAGGAGCAATGGAGGCGTCTGCAAACACCAGGTCAGTGACTCAGAGGGAGGGGATCGAGCAGGGGGGGCTGAAGCCCCCCAGGGAAGGTTGAGTGGGTGGCAAAGGATGAGTGAGTTGAATGGGTGGGAATGGAGGGGTGGTGAACTCCCCATGGAGTTATGAGAGCAAGGGCAGGGGAGGGGGGTTGGAACCCTCAGGGCAAGGCTAGAGAGGGGCAGGGGGGAGATGGGGGTTGGAACCACCAGATTAAGGCGAGCAAGGGGCAGAGGGAAAACCCCCCCTGATGCCTTCTACTCGCCTTAACCTGGGGCTTTCAACCCCCCTCTCTTGCCTCTCAACTGCATTACCTCGGGAGTTTCAGCCCTCCTCCTGTGTCTCGCCCTCGTGCTGCCATGAGGGTTTCACCCGCCTTCTGCCCGAAGGTGAGTGAGTGGACGGGGGCAGGGTTGCGCCTAGAGCTCCGCATGCCAGGCAGCAAATGATGATGCAGTAAGCCCTGTCATGTGGCTCACTGGTTGACCGCCTTCCACTGTGGGACGGGTGGGGGGGGCTCACACCGCAACAACAGGGGTGGGACAAGTGAGGGGGAGGTGAGGGCGATCCAGACCACAACTAGAGAGGTGAGACGTGTGAGGGGGGGGTTCAGTTCACACCCCAGTAACAGAGGTGAGACGTGTGAGGGGGGGGTTCAGTTCACACCCCAGTAACAGAGGTGAGAGGTGAGGCAGGTGAGGGAGGTTTAGTCCCCAACTATAGAGGTGAGACGGGTGAGGTGAAGTTAGACCCCAATGAAAGAGGTTGAGACATCAATTATTGAGGTGAGGCAGGTGGAGGGTGTTCCAGGGACCCCAAGCTATAAGGTGAGGCGCACAAGGTGAGACAGTGAAGGCCTGGCCCTAAATGCAAGGTCTGGCACCTAAGGGCGCTTGCAGTCAGTTGCTGCAGGTTTAGGCAGGAGAGGTGGCTTCACCACAGGCTGGCGAGCGATTCAAGTTCAGGACAAGCACTTGGTGGGGACCCAGGGAATTTTTCCGCTGGTAGCAATAGATACTGGCAGGTTCAGTGAGACCTGGAAAATTATGCAGGGTACTTCGCCCAGTTCAGACGCCAAACAGAAGAGACAGGAAGAGCGGAAGGGGCAAAGCTGGAACTTTGATACAGCCGAAATACGAAAGGATGCATGGGTTGTTAGACAGCAGCGTCTATGTGGAGAATGTAAACCATATGTTGGAAAGGATTGTGTATATTGTATTAGAAATATGGAGGAACCTCTCTTATGAAGTGATGATAATTCGAGGAAGAAATGTTTCCTCGTTTAATTCCTCGGTATAAAAGTGAATTATCGAGGCTCTTCTTGACGATGTACTTCAGTTCCAGCGCCAGGTTCATGCCTTTTGTCGGATGCAGGAAAGCCGGAAGCGACAAACAGCTGTCACCCTAGGGCACTTTGTCGTCTTGTCTCTGCTGCTATGTTCGGTGAGATTGAAACGAGTGGTGGTGATTGAACATGAATCTCCGTTGCTGATTGACCCGTTAGAAGCTTTGCTTTGCGCACTGTACATTGATTGTTCCTGACGAAGAACTCTTTGTGCAGGTGAGGTCTCCTCCAGTCATGGTGTCAGTTGCCTTTTCATCCAATCATAACACACACAACCATCCACGCAATAAGTACCACGTGGAGAGACCAAGGGTAGCGCAAGCTCGGTGGCAGGGAGGGGGGGGGTTGGGGTGAGGGGAAGGGGATGACTTCTGCAAGGAGCAGCACCAGTGCGCTGCGCAGCCGCTCCCGCCCACGGATTTTGCGTCGCCTTGCCCTCCAACGCAACCCTCCCCCTTCGCCAAATCCCTAGATGAAACGGAGCTTCGCATCGCAGCTCTTTCTATCTCCTTGTTTAGTTCGAAATCTTCAGAGAATCCGTCATAATATTGCTCTCCCTTACGTAGTACAATATCGCACAAGGAAGCTCTCATCTCGTCAACGGCTTTACATTCTTCGCCGTTTCGTCTTCTTGCACCGCAGAGGAAAGCCTTCGTTTGGTACTGGCATTAGAGCCGCTCGTCGCAGGCGAGAAGGCGTCGCAGGCGAGAAAGCGGCGCAGTGAGTCCAATTCAGGTACTCGCAGCTCGCATTCTGCTGTCGGACGATTGTCTGTCAACCGTCGCGTTCAGTCATCCGCCGCGGATTAGCACGATTTCACGACTTCGCCTTGCGGAGGATTACTCGTGCGGTGGATAACGAGTCCGGTTCAAGCGGTTCTCTCCCCGCAGTCTCCTCTCCGATTGTTTCTGCGGTGGGTGTAAGAAAGCTTGGCAACGAATAGCGCGCCGAGCGTGCGGATATGCAGCGGATGGAAATCCACTCGCTTTCCGCCTCAGCCGCCACTCGTTATGCCTTTCACGAGCGCGAGAATCGCGATGTGATCCGCGAGGCGAATACTTTTTGAGGCAATGCGGGAGCGCGCCTCGGAAGTCGCACTCTTACCTGACAGCGCGCTTTAATGGCCAGCGAGTCGCCTCTGCATCGCCCCCAACCGCACGTTCACCCTGCCTTCTCCTCAGCCTTTTCATCCGCCCTCCCTGCGTCCTTCGCGTACCATCAGAGTCCTCTCGAGATCGTACATTCCTCGCGTCTCGCCGCACCTCCTCGTGCTGCGTCCACGTGTCACGCAGAAGCAGCAGCTGTAGCCAGCGCTGCTGTCGCCGCTACAGCTGGCACTGTAGCCGAATCTCGTTCCGCGCCACCTGCCGTCTCCGCTAGCGCAGCAGCTGCGGCTCCCGTTTTCCAAGAAATTTTGGAACGCGAGTCTATTCGAGGAGATCCTGCATCGAAGATCCAGAATCAACGGTCAATGGAGCCGGCTAGTCAACCGGCCACAGTAGATAGCGCAACAGATAGTGCCCCTCGAGTAGCCTCTTCCCTAACTTGCGATTATGACGATCAGGAGATCGACGGCGGTGATTTCGTCCGCTACCACAGCGATCCGCGGCCGAAAAAGTCCGGCGGAATGCGCATGTCCAACCTGGGGAAAGCGCTAGGGTTGCGCGAGTCGGGGCGGGGGGAAGCGGATGTAGCGAGCGGAGGCGGAACCAGCGGCGCGAGCTCCGCGCGACCAGCTGCGGCTTCCGCCTCCTCTGCGCAGCTGCGCCATCACCGCAGCTACCTCAAGCAGATGTCGATGCCCGCGGGAAAAGCCGCCACCGAAACAGCCGTCATAGCCCCAGCCCGCGGAACAGAGGGGAGGAGCGGGGGAGCAGGCGGGGGAACGGGTGGCGGAACGGGGGGAGATAAATTGCGATGGGGGCAGTGGATGGGCCGTCCGCAGCATCAGGAGGGGAGAGGGGGAGGGAGGGGCGCGGGGGAGGCGAGCGGAGAGAGCGGGGGAGGGGCGGGTCCTGGCGTGGGTTGGCTGGATGCATCTGGACGGTCGGATTTCGCTATCATTGTGACGAGGACAAGTGGCGCGATCTGGTTGGAGGAGATGCACAAGCGGCGGGTGCACCACGGTCTGTGCGGGCTTGGGCGGGAAAGGAAGAGCCTAGAGGCGTTTGCACAGGCGCAGCAGCGGAAGGCGGAAGGGGAGGGTGTAGCGGGGGAGGAAAGCCTAGGGGGATCTGGGGGAGAGGGGGGACCGGGGGGAAGATCAGGGGGGGAAGACACAGAATCAGGGAGAAATGAGGAGGATAAGGAGGGGAGGGTGATTGCTGTTGTTTCCGCGCCTGCTTCACTGGCTATTCCGCCTAAGCTAGTCCCTGGCGCTTTAAAGCGTGCCCCTCTTACCAGGAAGGTTAAGAGAGGACTAGAAGGGGTGGGAGAAGGCGCAGTGTACAGTGGAGTCACAGTAGAAGGTGTGCTTATAGGTGGGGTTGTGCAAGCGGGCAATGCCGCGAGTGGCGGTGGCGGGGGGTCTGCTGGTGCGGATGGGGATACGGGAAAAGAGGTGGGGGAAAGCAGAGGTGGCAGTAGGGGAGATGAAAATGGGGGGTCGGCGGAGAGGGGGGAGGGGGGGGCGGAAGTAGAGAAGGGGGAGGGGGAGGCAGTGGGGAAGAGGAAGGGGATCGGGAGGAGCAAGGGTCGCATCCTGAGCCGCAAGGAGAGGAGGGGGAGGGGGAGGAGGAGGAAGAGGAAGAGGCATTAAGAGGAGACGAGGAGAAAGACGATGAGGAGGCTGGGGGAGGAGTGGCGCGCAGGTCAGTCAGCAGCAACAGCGCGATGGGCGGCGCAAGAGGAGCGAGAGGCTCAGCAGCAGCAGGGGGGGCACGGGCAGCAGCACAGCGGACAGCCAGCGGGGGACCAGCAGCGTACGTGCCGCACTGGAGGAGAGCCAGCGGGGGAGGGGACGGGGAGCGGTGGCAGACGGCGCGGTACGAGCCGAGCCCGACGGTGTCTATCGACTGCACCATGTCGTCCACCGCCTCGTCGCCCCTGGACCCCGCGCTCATGCCGTCCCCCTACTACCCGCACCACGTGCTGCCGCACAACCTGCCGCCCCTGCAGCACCAATACCCGCGCCACCAGCGGCAGTTATCGGCCCAGTTCTCCCCCATGGGCCTCCAGTCCCAGCGCCCTCGCTCGCCTCTCTTCTCCATGCCTCAGGATGCCCACCTGCCGCCTCCTCCTCCTGCTGCTGCTGCCGCTGTGGTTTCTGCTGCTGGTATTGGTGCTGGCGGCAGTACTAGTTGTGTGGAGGTTCTGACTGTTGAGGGAGAGTCGGACGGTGAAGCACTGGGAGAAGGTTCAGGGCACGGCGGGCAGCAGAGCTCAGGGCAGGGCGAGGATGAGAGCTCAGAGCAGGGTGTGGGAGCGGGGAGGAGGAGAGTGATGGCGCGGTTCCCTCGGGCCGTGTCCACCCCTGCTGGGATCAGCAGGTCGCCTCTTAGCAGATCGCCCGTTGGCGGGGCCAGCCCTCTCTCCGACCCCAATGCTGAGGACGAGGACGGGGGAGAGGGGGTGAGTGGAGGCGAGATGGAGGAGGGGATGGAGGGGAGTGAGGAGGGGAGTGGGGAGGGGAGTGGGGAGGGGAGTGATGAGGGGAGTGAGGAGGGAGAAGGAAGGAGTCCTCAAATTAGCGATGAGGAGGTGGGTGAGCGGAGAGAGTGGGGAAGCAGGGAGTGTGGGAATGGAGGGGGCATGCAAGAAGCACCAGATGGCATCACAGAGGGCTCAGAACCCCCCAGTCACAGCGCGAACAGTGATTCCTCATCCCCGTTACGACACAATGGAGCAGCGTCAACAGACGCCGAAGCAGCCGCCGTTGCGGCAGCTGCCGAAGCAGCGGACCCGAGCCTGCCGCCGACCCTGGCGTCCCTGGGGAAGAAAGCGGAAGGGATGCTGTCGACCCGAACCTACCGGGACAAGGACGGGATAGAGTGGCACAAGAGGGGTCCGCTGACTGAAGCGGCTGCTGTGGAATTTGACACGGAGCCCATGATTATGCCTGAGGTGGTGGACCGGTATGGGTTCATTGCAGAGGAGGGAAGGGGGGGCGGGAGAGAAGGGGAGGAGAGGGGGAGGAGGGGAGAGTGCCGGTGGTGGGGGTGCATGGGCCGCAGGCAAGCCTGTTGGAGAAGGAGGAGCGGCTACTGTTCATCAAGTGAGAGATGCTTCCTTTGTGTCACATATCAACCTCTTCCTCTGTAATGCTTTGGTTCGTGGTTCAAGCAAATGGCGTGGTTTCTTCCCTCTCATCCCTGCCTCTCTCCCCATCACTTCCCACGTCTTCCACTATCTCCTCCCCTCCGCCCCCCTGTGTCTGCCTTCTGCCCTGTCAACCACGCTCTCTTGAAGAAGCACCTGGAAAGCATTCCTCTTCTCGCCTCCGCCCCCCCTGCCTCTGCCATCTGCCCTGTCATTGGCTCCTCCAACAGGGAGGAGCGGGAGGTGCGCAGGTGGCGCGCCATGATTGGGCTGGGCCCCATGGATTGGAATCTGTACCAGAGGAAGCACCCCCGGGAGGTCAAGAAGCGCATAAGACAAGGCGTGCCGGACTGCCTGCGAGGCATCGTGTGGCAACTGTTGTCTGGTAGCCGGGAATTCCTGTTGATGAACGAGGGCGCGTATGAGGTGAGCTGGGGTGAGGTACACCCTGGCTGTTAAAGCTGGCGGGTAAAAAATTATTGGCCTATTCTTACTTAATAGCTTTCCTCTTGTTGCTAATTTCATGTGCCTTGGAGTGCCCTCCCAAAGTGCCGCCTTTCCTGTTTTTATACTCGTTATTGGCAGCACATGCTGCTGTGTGAGCTGTCCAACAATGAGATGGACTTTATAAGAGATGTCAACCCTTTCGCTCCCTTTTGCCCCCCTTCCATCCCCATTATTGGCAGCACGTGCTGCTGTACGAGCTGTCGAACAACGAGATGGACATCATAAGAAGCACCTCTCCTCCCCCCTCCCCCCCCCCCCTTTGCTCCTCTTTCATCCCTTGTCCTCGTTATTGGCAGCATATGCTGCTGTACGAGCTGTCGAACAACGAGATGGACATCATCCGCGACATCAACCGCACCTTCCCCACACACGTCTACTTCATGCAGAAGCACGGCCCGGGGCAGCGCGCGCTGTTCAACGTGCTCAAAGCGTACTCTGTCTACGACAAGAAGATCGGATACGTGCAGGTGGGGCTCCGGTAGATACACGTGGCTACAGGTAGGAAGACTGTGCTCTGGCAAGAACTTGGAAAAAGGTCTTGAGAGTGCTGTGTGCCACCTCCCTACCCTCGCCCCTGCGTGCGTCCTATCCCTCCAGCGCATGGGCCTCGTAGCTGGCCTCATGCTGCTCCACATGGCTCAAACAGATGCCACCGCCCACCGCCCACCGCTCCCGTCTCCCGCCTACCGCCTAACGCCACCATCTGCCCTCTGCCCTCTGACCTCTGCCGCCTGCCGCGTGCCGCCCAGCATTTGCTGTTTGCCGGCTGATGCTGCTCAACCTGGCGGGGGACGACGCCTCGTGTGCTCGTGTGTGCTCGTGTGTGCTCGTGTGTGCTCGTGTGTGCCGTCACTCACCCGTGCGTTTCTCCCTTGCGTGCTCTCTTCACAACTCCCCTGCCTCCCCTGCTCTCACGTCTACTCCCATGCACATGCACCACTCACCCCTGCAACCCCGCCAGGGCATGGGGTTCATCGCAGGGCTGATGCTGCTGTACATGGCGGAGGAGGACGCCTTCTGGCTGCTCGTGGCGCTCATGAAGGGCGCCAACCACACCTCGCTCGAAGGCATCTTCCTCGTGAGTCTGTATACCTCGCTCCAAGGCACCTTCCTTGTGAGCCTGTATACCTCGCTCCAAGGCATCTTCCTCGTGAGTCTGTATACCTCGCTCCAAGGCATCTTCCTCGTGAGTCTGTATACCTCGCTCCAAGGCATCTTCCTCGTGAGTCGTAAGAATCAGCCCGTATTCACTTCAGCCGTATTGAAGCACCAGTGCTGCACGGCACCACCCCTGTCTTGCTTTTGCATGCTTGCATTCCCCATACTTGTCCTTGCATTCCCCATACTTGTCCTTGCATTCCCCGTACTCGTCCTTGCATTCCCCCCTCTCAGGTCGGTGAACTTGAGAGGTCAACACTCTCAGGTCACCACCAGAAATACCGCTTCCAAGTGGAAGACTGCCTGCTGCACGAATGCGAAGCCTGTCGTGTCCCATTGTTCCCACTCCCATACAGGATACCTCACCCCACTATCACCATCACCCTTGGAACACCCCAGGTCGGCCTCCCGCTGCTCCAGCAGTGCCTCTTCCAGCTCGGCCGTCGTCCCTCATGGTCTTGGGAAGAGCAGCCCAGTTCCACCGCCTGCTGCACGAGTGCCTGGCACAGCACTCACAGCACCACCACTGACAGTTCGACTGTCGTCACTCATGGTCTTGGGACGAGCAGCCCAGTTCCACCGCCTGCTGCACGAGTGCCTGCCGCTGCCTTCATCCTGCTGTCCCATCTCCGTACCCCCCTCCTCTCAGTTCCGCGTGCCCCTGCTCCAGCAGCACCTCTCCCAGCTCCACTGCCTGCTGCACGAGTGCCTGGCACAGCCCCACTTCATGAACCCCTCCCTCTTCCTGCCTTCACATTCCCCTCGCCCTTGAAACCCCCAGGTGGGCCTGCATCTAGTGCAGCAGTACCTCCTCCAGTTCGATCGCCTGCTGCACGATTGCCTGCCACTCTCCTCATCCTGGCGCTGTCTTCATCCTGCTATCCCATCCCCTTACTCCCCCCCCCCCTCTCTCAGGTGGGCCTGCCTCTGGTGCAGCAGTACCTGTTCCAGTTCGATCGCCTGCTGCACGAGTGCCTGCCGCAGCTGGCACGACACATGGAGAGCGAGGGCGTGACCCCCTCCATGTACGCGAGCCAGTGGTTCATCACAGTGTTCGCCTACAGCTTCCCCTTCGCCACCACCCTGAGAATATGGGATGTCTTTCTGTTCGAGGTGAGACATGCCGATGGGACCCTGTATCCTGGGTTGAGCTGTCTTCTTAGTCAAAGGGCGTGACCCCCTGCATCTACGCCAGCCAGTGGTTCATCACCGTGTGCGCCTACAGCTTCCCCTTCGTCACCACGTTGCGGATATGGGACGTGTTTCTCTTTGAGGTGAGGCGCCTTCAACTCACTTGATTTTAATGGTAAGGCAAAGGCAGCGTGACTCTGCAACCCCCTCCATGTACGCCAGCCAGTGGTTCATCACCGTGTTCGCCTACACCTTCCCCTTCGCCACCACCCTGAGATTATGGGATGTCTTTCTGTTCGAGGTGAGACATGCCGATGGGACCCTGTACACCACCCTGAGATTATGGGACGTGTTCCTATTCGAGGTGACGCGTGCTTGTAGGTGCTCGGCACTGTCTGTGCCTAGAGCTTCCTGTGCGTTTTGGGAGGTGAGACCTCGGGAAGTGAGACCTAGGGAAGTGAGACCTAGGGGAAGTGAGACCTAGGGGAAGTGAGACCTAGGGGAAGTGAGACCTAGGGGAAGTGAGACCTAGGGAAGTGAGACCTAGGGAAGTGAGACCTAGGGGAAGTGAGACCTAGGGGAAGTGAGACCTAGGGGAAGTGAGACCTAGGGAAGTGAGACCTAGGGAAGTGAGACCTAGGGAAGTGAGACCTAGGGGAAGTGAGACCTAGGGAAGTGAGACCTAGGGAAGTGAGACCTAGGGGAAGTGAGACCTAGGGAAGTGAGACCCCCCACCCCCCGTTTCACGTTTGTCTCTTTGCCCGTTTTTCCTCCCCGCTGCACCTCCCCCACCTGCGCCTGCTGCCAGGGCATGAAGACGGTGTTTCGCGTGGGGCTGGCGCTGCTCAAGCATGGTCCGAAGCACCTGAGAACTGACCAGCAAGCATCCCCCTCGTCCCTCCCCATTGCATCCCTTGTGTCTCCCCCACCTGTGCCTGCTGCCAGGGCATGAAGACGGTGTTCCGGGTGGGCTTGGCGCTGCTCAAGCAGCAGCAGGACGACCTGGTAAGAGCTTTCTTCTGACGGCCTCTCAGCCCTCTCTACTCTTCCACCCATTCTCGCTACACCTGCAATTTTCCGCCCTTCCGCCCTTCTCCTTACTGCCCTTCCCCACGAACAACCCTTGAGTGAGGCCTGACGCCCTCCCCTCCCATTGGATATCCTTCCCCTCGCCCCCTCCATCCCATGCAGCTCTAAAATGCCCTTTCTGGACCTAGTCCCCGCTGTGCGCATGTACCTTGACCACTCGCTCACTGTTGCCTTCTCCCTCTCCCCTCTCCCGTATCCCTGATCCCTCTCATCCCATTCATCGCGTCATCTGCCTCCCGCAGTTGCAGATGCCCTTTGAGGACCTGGTGCCTGCCCTGCGCACATACCCCGACCGCATTCTAGAGCCAGACACGCTGCTCAACGTCGCCTTCTCCTTCAATGTGAGCGCTGTGTCATGGCCCACTGCTCAGTGCAGGTAAGAGCCTTGTGCTGCCTGCCCCAAGTGCATACCCCAACTGTGTATCCTGGAGCTAGACACGCTGCTCAGATTCCCAATCTCCTTTGTTGTAAGCACTGCTCGTGGCTCACGGCTCCACGCTTGCGAGACTAGACTCGCAAGACTAGAGCCGGTGCTGCGCGCTTCTCTACTCGTCTCCTGCTCGATTTCTGCCCATCGGTGTCTCATGCCCCCCTCCTTGGTATCTGACCGGCTGAGAGAGCTAGAGGCGGAGTACACAGGCATGCAGCACCCGCCGCTGCCCACCGCAGGGCGTCCATGGGGAGGCTGAGGAATTTACACCAACTCAGACCCTTGTGCTTGCAATGCCCCCCTCCCTGCGACTTCAGGTGTCTGACCGGCTGAGAGAACTAGAGGCGGAGTACACAGCCATGCAGCACCCGCCGCCCATAGCAGGACCCAAGGCACATGGGGAGGCGGAGGAGGGGGAGAGGCAGGAGGGGCAGGGAGGGGAGGGGCAGCAACGGAAAGGTAAGAGAGAGGAGCGGGGGGATGGGGAGAGGAGGGGGGAGGCAATTCCTTGCCAATAATTCCTGAAAATTATTGTTCTCGATGAGGTGTTACAAGGGGCTGCATTTTCTGCTTGATGATTTATTTTTTTCCCCCTCGTGTTTCCACAGTGCTCCTTTTCAATTTAATATTTAACTTCTCAGCTGCTCTTTCATTGCGCGTCTGATTCCTTGTCATATCCCCTTCGAGCTGCATTGCAGGCCTTTCTTCCTTGATACTTCGTTTGTACCACGCTCACAGCCAGAACTCGCTGCACATTTCTTCCCGTCACTCGTCATTCACCTGTTCATCTTGTCCTTTTGAGTTGACTCAAAAGTCACTCGTCAGTCACCCGTTCATTTTGTTCTTTTGAGTCGACTCAAAAGCAGGGTCATCTTATCCTTTCCCATCCTCATTCTCACTCCCTCCTGCTTTACCTCTCCCAGGCTCCCGTTTCCAGCTGCGCCAGAGAATCAAATCTGCGTTTTCACGGCCGCCTATCGGTTGATACAGCCATTCACCCGGATCTGGACCGTCACCATTCCCATCCCACCACCACCCGACTCTTGCGCACATACCGCCATCTACACCTCTGTTCGACCGGCACATGCTGTCCTCGCCCCGGAAATGGCCACAGCCATCCAAGGCGCATGTAACAAACAAACTGTAACATATTCGTCAAGATACGCCAGGTACCTAGAATCCGCTCGGCGAGGAACAAGAAGCCTTGCTCTTTTCTCTGCTCGTCTACACTTCTCTCACTGGGGGTGGGTCTGCTCAATGGCTGGCTGGTGCTTGCTCTGTTCTGCTCTGCTCTGGCTCAAACATGGCTTATCCATCCACAGTAGTCAATTGATACTGGTAGTGTAGTCAGAAAGCCAGCATGTTGCAGCGCCTGCGATTCTCTGTCCTGTAGTCTGTGACTGGCAGGCAGTTGTCCACGGTGCAGACATGGCTGTTGGGAATCAGCTACCAGTATATACCTAGGATGAGGCTAAGTATTTGATTTATTTTTTGTCACTGGTTTCTCTGGGGGACTGCAAGCAACACTGGGATTTCCCTTGATAGAAATGCTGGAGGAAGGGCGGCAGGCGCTGCTGGGTCTGTGTGTGTGTTTCTTAGGGGGGGATGCATAGGGGGGGATGCATCATGCATAGGGGGGATGCATAGGGGCGGACGCATGGGGGCGGATGCATAGGGGGGGATGCTTAGGGGTTGGATGCATAGAGGTTGGATACATAGGGGGGGATGCGCACACAGTGCAGCGGATAGCTGCTGCTGTTTGTAAGAACCCAAAATACACCCGAATTCGAACCAGCCGTGTTAACACACACATCAAGATGGGTGCAGGTGCTTCAAACCAGCTGTGTACAAGTAGGAATTCCACGAGTGCTGCCATACTGGAATGGGTGTGCACTGCACTGGCGCTACGCTATCGGAAGAAGGGGAGGGAATGCCGCAAGTATGGGATCACTGCCTCAGCAGCACACCCCATCCACCCCAAGTTTTTTGAGTGGCTAAAACTCGTATTGTCATGTCACCGCACCATGGGCTGCAGCCTTGCACTAGGCCATGGAAGGAAGGAGAATGCTGCACGGCCCAGACAGCCGCCTAAGCATTACCTCCCAAGCCGCCTCTGCTGCTGCAAAGAGAGTGGGGATTTGAGGTGGCAGATGGGGGCCCAGCGGCCCTGCTACCCTCATGCAGTCACGCAGGAGGGTGACTGTAGCGGGGGTGAGGGAAGGGAGGGCGGCGGCACACTTGACGGCAGAGGGGAGGGCGGCTGAGAGGAAGTCGGTGGAAGCTGCAGTGTGGGTGAGAGTGTGAGAGAGAAGGTGAAGCACCTGGTTTGTGGAGAAGGGAGAAGGTGGGGGGCAGGGGGGGTGGGTGTGGGGAGGGGGGGGAGGGGAATGGAGGAGTGAGTAAGTTGGCAGGCGCACGGGAATGACGGGGGGGCACGACTCACATGGGAGGTCAAGGGTATTTTGAGTCGACTCAAAATACACCTGGTGCAGTGCAGTGCAGGCGAGCACGACTCACATGGGAGGCCAGGGGTATTTTGAGTCGACTCAAAATACACCTGGTGCAGTGCAGTGCAGGCGAGCACGACTCACATGGGAGGTCAGGGGCAGAGCATCGGGAGCGTCGCCGCAGCATGCAGCATACTCGCCCACCAGGCTCACGCCCATGAGCTGGCGGCTCATGACTGGCTGCTGCAGCAGCTCCCGCACGAGCGCAGGGAGGAGAGCGCGGGTCGCGGGGGAGGCTGCAACCAGGGGAGGTACACATGAGAGGGAGAAGCCCTGCAGAAAAAGAAGGAAACAGAGGAAGGGTATATGAAGGCGGTGAGGAGCAGCCCAAGACAGGATTTCGGGTTTAGGGGCATGCGATGGGAGCGGAACGAAGAGGAGTAATCGAGGGCGTGCGGCCACAGGAAGCAGGCTGGGAGCAGGAAGGTACCTGGAAGGTGAGGAGGCGCAGCAGCCTGGGATGGTGGGCGATGAGGTCATCAAGGAAGGCGAAGAGCAACGACTGACAAGCAGATAGGTCGCTGCACCTCTGCACACCCTGCCACCGCTGCTCCTTCACTTGCTGCTCCTGAAAGTGCTGCTCCTGCCTCCGTACCCCCCCCTGCTCCTCCTCCTCCTCCTCCTCCTCCTCCTCACTCTCTCTCGCGTCCTCCTCCCCCTCTGCCTCTTCCAAGCTCTCAGTGACCTCCTCCTGCCGCTGCCTCTCCTCCTCGCCCTCCTCCTGCATCTCCTCGCACGCCTCCAGCACCATCTGCGCCACCACGCCCAGCATGGCCAGCACCCCGTTCTCCACCTCCTCCCCACTCACCCGCTTGCCCAGCTTTGCCACCACGCCTCTGCTCAGCCCCAAACCCGAACCGACACCCACGCCAGGGCCACTCTGGTTGATGCCTCTGCCTTCCTCCTCTTGCCCTGCCCTTGCCCCCCTCCCTGCACTCCCCACTCCCTTATCCCCTTTCTCCGCTATTCCCACTCCCCCTCTAGTAGCGCCACTAGCCGGAGCCGCACCATTCGCACTGTTTGCACCGTTGGCACTATTCCCACCATCGCCACGAGTACCTCCTCCCACTTCCCCTCCTCCCTCTGCCAGCTCAGCAACGCACGCCCTGCAGAAGTCGTCCAGCTGGCGGGACAGGATTGGCAGGAGGAGGCCAGAGAGGAGAGGAGGGGAGCGGAAGAGGTGGGGATGGGAGGAGAGGAGGCGGAGGGGGCGAGTGAGGGCTTCTAAGGGGTGCGGGGGACGCACGGGGAGGGGAGGAGGTGCGGAGAGAGGAAGTAACGGAGAAGAGGGTAAAGGTGGTGTGAAGTGAGACGAGAGAGGGAGGGGGGGTGAGGGTGAGAGGGGGAAGGGGGATGGAGAGGAGGGAGGAGGGAAGTTTTGAGCTTGAATTGCTTCTACCACAGCAGGCATGAGGGCCAGATACCCGATTGGGGGGAGTCGGCCCCACCAACGGGAGAATGACACCTGGATAGCTCTCAGGTCGAGGCTTGAGTGCAGTGACAGGGACTGTGACTGTACGGAGTGTGACTGTAAGAGGACCGGAAGCAGGCTGTTGATAATGATAAGCTCTGTCGCCCAATCCCCGAGGTCGAAGCCCGCATCACTCAATGAAGCTCGGGTTGTTGGGTTGCCGTCAGCAGCAGAGAGAGAGGCAGAGAGGGAGAGCGAGAGGGAGAGGGGGAACTGCCAGGAATCCAGAAGTGCACAGATGAGAGTGCAAAACTGCTGCTGCTGCTGCTGGTGAGCGAGGAGGGTAGAGTGTGCGAGGTGGGCGCCATAAGTCAGACTCCACTCGAGAGCTGCCAGCACGTGATGAGGATGAGTTGACTCCACTGGAGGAGATGACCCATGCGGTGAGACAGATTTGAGGTGAGTGGCGGGGGTGACAGGAGCAAAGAGGGCTTGTAGGAGGGTGTAGAGGACGCCTAGTGGGTGCTGACGTGGCAGGCTGCCGTCTGCTGTTGTTTTGCATGCTGAGACGGCAGGTGAGAGGGGAGACGTGGCGGGATGGGAGGGAGGGAGGAGGAGGGTGAGGTGAGGGAAGGTGAAGAGGGCCTTGGGGAGTGTGAGCGAGAGGGAGGGAGGAGGAGCGGGGTGAGGAGGCCTCATGTGGGACGACAGTGAGTTGAAGGCGTCCAGATTCTTTGGTAGAGGTAGCTGCGGTGGCTGCCCAGGAAACTCGGGCAGCAGAGAAAATGCCAGAGACTGCCACTGCAAGCAGAAAGAAACGAGAGCCAAAGAGAGTAATGGAAGGCGGGAGGAGCAGCCGCCAGGTGGATTAGAGCGGCTAACGGCTAGTCGCACGCAAATAAAGGAGGGAGAAAAAAACTGCTCCACCAGATGAAGTGCGACAAACAGTGGACAACGGAAATGCAGCCCCCCTCCCCCCTTTCACTCAACCCTCCACCAAGCACTCCACTCACAGGGGGCATGCGCGGCTTCACGTTAAGGAATCAAGGAATCCCTCTTCCATGGCGGGGAGCAGAGTGGGCCATGGCAGGCAGGGCGCGCGGCAGCAGCTGCCACCAGTGTAAGTCCCTGCCTGACGGACTTGAGAGGGGAGAGAGAGAGAACCACGGCGAGTGACGGACTGATGGATTGACTTACAGTGGGCATGAGAGGAGCAAAGTCAAGGTATCTCTCTTCCATAGCCGCTAGCAGGGTGGGCCAAGGCACGGCGTGCAGCAGCAGCTGCCACCACTGCAACACTGGAAGGGCACGAATGACCAGAGCACGAGTGGCCGTGGCACGGCATGCATGCATCCCTCTGCTCCCTGCACTCCCATTCAGGCCACTCCCACGTCTTCTCTCTCCTTTTGTCTCGCCTGTCTCCTCCAGGTCTCCTTCCTCCATTGCATCTGCTCCCCCCTCTTCCTCCTCTCCCACTTCTCCCTCCTCCTCCTCGCCCTCTTCCTCCTCCCACTCCTCGCCCGTTTCTGGCAGCACAGCGTCACCAGCACCAGCCCCCTTCTTCCCCTGCATGCCCTGCGGCCCTCTCTTGGACCTCAACTCCTGTGTCCGCCTCTTCCCCTGCACCCCCCACGCCCCTCTCTTCCCCCGCATCTCCTGCTCCCACATCAGCACATAGAGAGACCCGAGCGCCCCTCGTGCCAACACCCTCTCCATCTCTTCCAACCACAAGTCCCTCAAGCCCACCCCACTGGTGCTGGCGCTCCTACCCACCACCCCACCGCTTGAGCCCAGTCCGGGATCGACACATTTCAGAGGGGGTGGAGGCTGGGGGGAGCGGAGGGGAGAGAGAAGCGCGGCAGGAGGGATGCCAGAGGTGGCGAGCAGGCACGAGGGCCAGATGAGGCGAAGGAGGGCGGAGCGGGAGAGGGGTTGGATAGGGGGAGAGGGAGGGGGTGTGGGGGGAGAGAGGGTAGCGGTGGTGGTGGGGATGGTGGGGGAGGAAGTGGGGCGGAGAGGGGAGCGAGAGGGGTGCGAGGGGGATGGGTGAGAGGAGGAGGGGTGAGAGGGGGAGATGCGGGAAGGGGAGGGGTGGGACCGGGGGTTGTGAGAGGGGGATGCACGAGACGGGGAAGGATGGGAGGAGGGGAGAGAGTAGGGGGGGTGTGCTGGGGGGTGGGCGGAGGAGGGATGAGAGACGGGAGGACGAGAAGGGTTGGGTGGAGGAGGGGGGAGGGATGCAGAAGCAAGGGAGGAGACGAAGGAGGAGAGGAGGGAGTGGAAGGCAGGGTGGATGGGGAGCGAGGCGGCGTAGAGGCAGCGAAAGACAGCAGGGGCGGGGTTGATGCAGTGGTGGGTGAAGAGGCCCGCCTCTAGCAGCAGATGCACGCACTCTGCTGCTTGCGCTGCTGCTGCTGCTGTGGTGGTGAGAGACGAGGCTCCGACTGCGGCTGCTCGGTTGTGTGCGTCTCTGGTACCAATCTTGGATGCGGCATGGGGTGCTTGGTGCGGCAAGGGCCGGGGTTGTGACACACTCGGGTGCAGAGCAGCGACGGCTCGCACCACGCCTGCTGCAGAGAGAAACACAGGAGCAGCACCAGCAGCACTGCCAACAGTGCCAGCAGCATTATCATCAGCAGCAGCAGCAGCACTACCTCTGCTGGCATTTGACCCTCCCCCTAATGCCAGGTCAGCAAGATAGTTGAGAGAGGCAGCAGATACCGGCACAGGGAAGCCCAGGGTTTCCTGGATGAGCTGCATGGGGGGATGGGGGACAGGGAACGGGAGGAGTGAAGGGCGGGGAAGGAGGAGTGAGAATGGAGGGCAATGTGGGTGCGAGGGGGGGCAGGCACCCACATACTAGCAAGTGTGCACAGGCACAAGGAAGGCCAGGGTTTCCTGAATGAGCTGCACAGAGGGTTGGGGGGCAGGGAACGGGAGGAGTGGAGGGCGGGGAAGGAGAAATAAGGATGGAGAGCAATGTGGGTGCGAGGGGGGGCAGGCACCCACATACCAGCAAGTGTGCACAGGCACAAGGAAGGCCAGGGTTTCCTGAATGAGCTGCACGGAGGGTTGGGGGGCAGGGAACGGGAGGAGTGGAGGGCAGGGAAGGAGAAATGAGGATGGGGAGCCATGTGGGCACGAGGGTGCCAGGCACAGGCACAGGAAACCGTAGGGTGTCCTGAATAAGCTGCACAGAAGGTTGGGAGGGGAAGCCAGGGGCGATGGGCAGGAGGGAGACTGAGGGACGTGGTGAGTGGGTGGATTGCGGAGAGAACAAGGAGAAGCTCAGGTGCTGGTGCGCCCACACACAAATCCACACACTAGCAAGTGCGCACGCACGTGCACACCTGCACACACGCATCCCCCCCCACCCCACACACTTACAGACACACACAGACACAGACACACAGACACACACACACACACAACAAACCCACATACACAGACACAGACGCAGACACAGACGCAGACGCAGACGCACATCGCAAGTTGTGAAAAGTGACAGGGAAGAGTTACAACACACCTTCGCCACAGCCGGATGCCTCCTAAGCATCAGCTGCACCAGAGCCCACACCACCAGCAGATGTGCACATGCGTGCACTGTCACACGTAGACGCACAGGCACACGCGCACGCACACACACGCACCTTCGCCAGAGCCGCATGCCTCGTGAGCATCAGCTGCACCAGCGCCCACACCACCAGCACATCGCACCCTCCTCTCGCCCCTCCCTCCTCCCTGCCACCCCTCCGCGCCTCACTACCCAGCTGCTGCTGTGAAAGAGGCGGCACAAACGACTTGAGAGAGAGAGGTGGCGCGAGAACAGCGCGCGCTGCTTGCAGGTAGAGCGGGTGGAGGGGGGATGAAGAGGCGAGGGACGGGGGGATGAGGGCGAGGAGGGAGAGGGCCAGGGGCACGAGGCCCCCAGGAAAGAAGGTGGGTTGGGGCGTGGACTTCGCAGATTCTCCCTGGTGGTGGTGGTGCTGCTGCTGCTGCTGCTGCTGCTGCTCCCTGTGCTGGGATGTGCTGGCGGGCCCTCCTGTGGCCTGCACAATTGCTGACAGCCAGAACGACACCTGCAGCAGCCAAGGGGGGTGAGGAGAGAAAGGGCAACGGGAATGGGGAACAGAAAGAAAAGGTTAGAACGAAGCTTGCAAGTGTAAGAGCTAAGCTCGCAAGCGTTAGAGCGAAGGTCGCAAACGTAGTTGGGGAGGTCGCAAGCGTAAGAGCGAAGGTCGCAAGCGTAAGAGCGAAGGTCGCAAGCGTAAGTGCGAGGGTTGCAAGCGTAAGAGCGAAGGTCGCAAGCGTAAGAGGGGAGGTCGCAAGCGTAAGAGCGAAGGTCGCAAGCGTAAGAGCGAAGGTTGCAAGCGTAAGTGCGAGGGTCGCAAGCGTAAGAGGGGAGGTCGCAAGCGTAAGAGGGGAGGTCGCAAGCGTAAGAGCGAAGGTCGCAAGCATAAGAGGGGAGATCGCAAGCGTAAGAGGGGAGGTCGCAAGCGTAAGAGAGAAGGTCGCAAGCGTAGGAGCGAAGGTCGCAAGCGTAAGAGTGAAGCTCGCAAGTGTAAGAGTGAAGCTCGCAGGGGACTAAAGGGAGGTGAAAATCAAGTGTGGCTCTCTATGCACGTCACCACCCCTCAGCTGCCCATACCGCCCTACCACCCAACCACCACTCATTCCCCGTGTGTTAAACAAAACCAGGTTTCCAGACGCCCATGAGCCCGCCACCATCCCGCCACCCACCTCTCTCGCTGCCAGGCTGTCAGGCCCCGCACCCTCCAGCTGCACCACGCCGCACCCGCACAACAGACAAAACAGCCGCACGTGCCCCGACAGCTCTGCCGACCATCTCCCCGCCACTTGCCGGCCTTCCTTCAACCCCTGTGCCTTGGCGTTGGCCTCCATTCCCCTGTCTCGGCCAGTATCACCACCCTCCTCCTTCCCTACAGCCCCTTCCTGGCCTTATCTCCCCGCCATCTCCCCCTTGTACCCTCTAACCTCTCATCTTCCCCAGCCGGCCCTCCCTCCTCAACCTCACCCCGCCTCACACCCAGCCCTACTCTCTCCGCCTCTGCCTCTGCCGCTGCCAGCAACGCCACCCTGGCGCGCCACATGGCGCATTCTGATTGGCTCTCAGCAGCATTTTGCAGCAGGACTGCCTTCACAGGAGCAGCTGCCTCACCCTCATCTGCTCTCCTCCCCTCTGAATCCCCTTGCTCCTTGATCCCTCCTCCTTGTGCGCGCCCGCCTTCTGCTCCTGCAGCGGTACTTGATTGTGACAAAACATTATCCTCACGATGTGGCACCAATGGGCTCCAAGTCACCTTTGAAGAAAAGAACTCTCGCGGATCAAACGCACTGAGGCAAGGAAACGAGGCAGCAGGGAGGTTTCTCCTGGGGATAGAATCCTCCTCCCTTTCTCTCTCCCCTTCCCTCTCTTGCTGCTGATCTGCCTTTCTCTTTGCTGCAACCCCCGCCTCATCGCGGCCTCTCCCCTCCACTTCATCTCTCCGTTCTCCTTCTCCCCCTACCCCCCCCCTTGCCAGCCTGTAGGGCGCTATGAGGAAGCTCCAGCAGCAGCTTCTGGCCAATAGGGGATCGGCTAGAGAAGCAGGTAGGGCAGAGAGGAAGAACGCCAGCTCATCGCCGATCAGATCCACCGTGATCTGCACCGCCAACTCAGCAAGCACGCGCTGACTCAGCAACGCGGCCCGGCAGGCCCTGGGAACGGCAAGAGGGTCTTCCAGCACCGGGGGGGTTGTAGCTGCGGCTGTAGCTGTGCTTGTTGACGTGGCAGCAGTAGCAACGGCCAGCTGGCAGATGCGAACCAAGGCAAGGGAAGCTGCACGGAAGGTGCAGGAAGCCCAACTTGTAGCAGCACCAGTGGGGGAGATGGTGGGAGTAGTGGTGAGGCGAGAATTGGTGGGGGGAATGGAGGGAGGAGGGTGCAGTGAGGATGGAGGGGGGGATGGTGGGGAGCGTGACCATATGAGCCGTGGGTCTGCTTTTGACCATATGAGCCGTGGGTGGGACGAGTAGAGGGACCCCTCTGCTGCTCAGCTTGCCTCTGTGGCAGCGGGGGTGGCTTGGAGGAGAAGCCTCGGGGGAAGACAAACGCATGGGGTCGTTTCGGTGCTCCAGGTCCAGAAACAGACACCCGTTGCAGGCCAGCCGCACCAGCGTCACCAGCACTGGCGGCAGAACCACCGGCAGCAGCGGCGCCACCCTTTCTGCCTGCCCCTGTAGGCAAAGGAACATTCCTAGGTGCAGCAGACGCATCACCAGCAGCACCACTCGTTGCAGCAGCACCCAATTTTGTGGGATCAGGCTGGATGTTAGGTTGAAGGGAGGGGGAGAAGGCGGAGGGGGAGGAGGCGGAGGGGGAGATGGGAGTAGAGGTTCGGGCCAGGACTCGAGTGATAAGTTTAATCGCAGAGGCTCGGAATTGCTGGGACGTTTGGACCACCAGACCTGCGATCAGGCTCGGGCCGTGCCTGGAAGCAAGCAATCCGAGAACAGCCAGACCTGTTGGAAAGAATGGGTGGGAGGCAGGGTCAAGACTGGGGTTGGTTGGGGGAGCCTGGGAAGAGAGATGGGGGGGGACAAGAGGATGGAATAGTCATCCAATAAAAGATGCGAGAGAACGTTCACTAGTGTTGTATGACTTGTTTGCTGGCTGGGCTGGGCTATTTGACCTGGCGGCACGAGAGCAGGGCACTTGAGCGCCAGAGCCGGCAGCAGGCAGAGCAGCTCAGGGACAAACACGCCATCGTCAAACAACCTCCTCTCCTCCTCCTCCTCCTCCTCCTCCTCCTCCTCCTCCCAGTCCTCATTGTCTCCATCCTCTTCCTCCTCGTATCCTAGCTCTTCCCCACCGTCCTTCCTGTCGTCCCCCTCCCCCTCCTCATCCGCCTCATCTTCCTCCTCTGCCTCATCCCCCCCCTGCATTCCCCCAATCCCCCCGACCCCCCCCATCCCCCCCCTAACCACTCGTGAGGCAGAGCCCATCAATTCCTCCTCCGAACCCCCCAGCCCCCACTTCCCCAACCCTCCTCTGTTTCTCTTCCTTCTCCTCCCACTCCCCAAGGTTCCCCACGCATCCCCCTCTTCCCCCCCTCCGCCTTCCACTCCTCCTGCTCCCCCCACTGCCTCTGCTCGTCTCCCATGCATGTGGGCAAAGAAGCGCACAGTGCACCGCCGCAGAAAGTAGACAGCCAATGCGGACCGTTGCACCTGGGTGCGAAAGGAGAGGCAGAATCAGGTCATTGGTTGGAAAGATCGTTGCAGGACACGTTGGACACGCAGTCAGCGCTATACCGCTCGCTCTATCTACTTCAGGCATTGTCAGGCATTGTCAGGCATCACAACTTTGGCCACGTGCAATACTACAGGTGCAATATAAATCGCCCTAACCAGCCAGATGCTTGCTTTTTGGCACTCATTCAAGCATCTCAGCGGCGTTCCCACCAGCATCTTCTTTCCTTTTTTCCGTGTGGAGGCCCGTTCAATTCAAAGCCACCCAACCAAGATTGGGGGAAAAGAGACACAAGTGTGTGACCCAAAAACCATCTCAGCTCGCTGCGATGCCTATGTCAAACATCGCATAGTTTTGAGGCGCCTCAAAACCAAACATCGCACCCTAATAATCCACCTTCAGGCAATGCCAGCAGTCTGCCGATTTGGGGAAAGAAAGGGCTCTCAACTCACTTCGTTACCCATTTCAAACATCTCCGCTGCATCCAACCGACCATCACCCCTTTCCCTTCTCCCCCCCTCCTCCCCCTCTTTCTCTCCCTCCTCTTCCTCCTCTTTCACCACCCCTTTTCCCCCCGTTTCCCCCCTATCCTCAGCTCCGCTCCGCTTCCGCCGCTTCCGCGCGCGTATCCCCCCACCCTGCCATCCCTGCCAGCCCGCGCGAAGCTTCCGCCGACCCCGCTGCATTCTCGCGAGCCTCCTAATCTCCGCCTCGACAGCGGGGGGTTCCAGCAGCGCCACGTATTCCGCTAGTCGCGGGGCGAGCTGCGGGTTAAGGACTGGCCGAGGCGCGGGGGTCGTATCGCACGCCATTTGAATTCGACGGCTTGCTAGTAGGGTTGTTGGGTAATAGAGGAAAGGGCGAGAAAGCAAAGGAGAGAACGGAGCGAAGGCAGCTGATCAGGGTCGGATGTCGCTACGCGCGGTGCAGTGCATTTGAGCCTGGGAACGGTCTACATAGTCAGTTACCCCATAACCTTACGAGCCGCATCTATTGTCATGATCAGTGATCAATGGTGATCGGGGAGATGGCGGGGGATTGAAGACTCGACTCGGTGGTGCTGGGGGCTGCCCTGGGCTCAGGCATGATGAGCAATCCTCGCTACAGAATGAGTCGAAGCCTCTACAGAAGAAGAGTACACGCTGAACGGTTCTTTTCGCAACCGCAAGCATTTATTTACCCACATTGCATTTCGCCCGTTTCGTGTGGGCGAACTGGCCTTTCCCCGTGTCAGTCTGACGCCCTCAGCTGCTGCTTTGGCATTCCCCATGTCACGCTTTCATGGGAGGGGGGTTCCACCCACCCACCCCACACCCCCACGCCCTCCCAACTCTCGCATAACGTACATGCCACACCAAACAGAGAGGCGGCAGACACAGACTATCTCAAGGCTTTCTGAAGCCAAGCCCAAGCGCCAAACACGGCCAGTGTTGTCGAATTCGCTCCGAACTCTTGACTATCAAAGCATAGCAGGGCTCTGTATAGGCTGCCAGAACATATAGCCGTAACGCCTTAGCTATCCGCCATCAGCAGTCCTCATAATGTCTCACCATAGGCTCTCCCCGCCTCGCGCTGATCCAATTCACGATCCCTCGGTCTCTCCTCGAACTCCTCGCGTGCTGCTCGTCGGCAATCTCTGTCATGACGTCATCACGTTGAAGTCCGGGAAAACGGTCGAGGCGCTAGGCGGCTCCGTCGCGTACATCTCGCGCGTGCTCGACGCCGTCGGCATGTCTTCGCGATCCGTCGCGAAAGTCGGCTCTGATTTCAAGTACTGGGATGCACTAGGCCCGAATTGCCGGCCGGTATTGGTGGAAGGGAACGAGTCGGAGAGAGGGGGGTCAAACGGGGGAGGATCAGTGGCAGCGAAGACAACTGAATTTTTCGCGGATTTCACAGGTGAGAGGCTGCCATGGCTCAGCCGTTTTGACGACGCGCGTATTGCGTCGCTCTCTTCAAGAAACGCCCAACTTTCCGCATGTTCTCGTCGTCCTCCATCCGCCCCTTACTTTGTCTTCATCTCCCTGTCCCATTACCACATGGCTGATGCTTCAGGTTCTGACCGGGTGCTGACAGCGGGACACGTGTGTGAAGCCATAGGAGCAGCAGATCTGCCCTCCTTCCCATGCTCGTGTTCTTGCCCGTGTGGATGCCAAAGTGAGCATTCACTGGGAAATCCATTGCCGAATTCTCGTCCTGATAGCTCCACTCCAGCTGATGCTGCTGCTATTCCCGCTGCGGAGGATTGTGACAATAAGAGGTGTGATTCATCAAGCCCGGGTGGTGATTGCAGTGGAGGGAGCTGCTCTCACATGCCAATGTTCGATGTCGGGGTGGCTGCTGGCGTGGCAGGGGAGGTTCAGCCATCCACAGTGCGACACATTGCAGAGATTTCACGCCACACAGTGGCTGATCTACAGGTACCGTTGGGGTATGACGGAACATAGGACTGAGGGATTTCGTGATCACATTCTGTGCATTCACGTCTTTGCTCTTGATCACCTCTCCTTTCTCTGCCCTTTTACCCCTCCCCTCTCAGTCAATGGTGCGTCACATTGACCCTGTAACAGGGGCTGTTGAGTTGCAGCATCTTGAGAAGACTGCGTTTATGGGCCTCATTCCGCGAATATCGTTCCTTAAGGTGCTGCTGCATCCCTCTGCATCCCCTGTTGACGCCATTTATGCCAAAGCAAGCTTACAGCGTTGCACCGTATGCACCTTATCACCTTTGCATCACCTTTATTTCTCCACTTCCTCGTGGCCTGCGTTTCACCAGGTTGCCAGTCATGAAGCTGCCTTCCTGGATATTGAGAGGTGTGCTCGACTGCTTGGCACAGCCCAGGCGACAAGTGCAGTGGGGCAGTGCAACGGTAGTAGAGCAGATGCGATAGGAGGAGCTGTGCTGCTGACTCGGGCTGAAAAGGGGTGTACAGTCGTCACAAGGTAGGGGAAAACAGTGGCATATTATGCAGTAGAAATTGTTACTTGGTAAGCTACATCTGCTTTTTGACAAAAGCATTTTCTAGCACCTGTATTCCAAGCCATCATCTCGTGGGCGTTTCTTTCCCCTCTTCCTACATATTTCAGGGACAGGGAGTTCGTGGTCCCGTCTTTCCCTGCAGTGGAATTGGATTCCACAGGTGCAGGCGACTCTTTTATGGCAGGCTTCATCATTGGCCTATGCTTGAATAGGTCATTAGAGGAGGCAGTGCAAATGGGCTCTTTCTTTGGAGGAGTAGCTGTAGAGCAAGTCGGTGTGCCAATCATAACACCCCAAATTGGTTCTAGGTGGCAAGCAACGTTCAATGTATAATTCGTCAATGCAATTCAGGTGGAATATATTTTTCTGCATGATGTGATGTGTATGTGTTATGGCAACTGTTATGACGGTAAGACCCTATTGTGTGACTATACCTCAAGGTTACTGGAAGCTTCAGCTAGACCCAGAATCTCCCACATTTCTTGAGAACGCGACGCTTATGTGGAGGTCACTCGCTGTTGTGAACATTCAAATCGGACGGTGTAAAGCGCGTGCGGCCTCTCGTACTTTCCAGAGTGAACTTTCGACGGCCATCTGTGCCTGCGGCGCCACGATCTGCTGGAAGCATCTAGAAAGTTTCGCAACGGGCGAACAGGAGAGAGGAGAGGAGTGGAGTGGAGGAGCGAGACCCTCCAGCCAGCGGATTGGGAGTGCCATTTGCCAAGCTAAATTCTCTTCCCCCCCCTGACCCTCACACCAGCAGACATCTCAAACTTACATAGAGCAAAATTCTCCATTGTTTTCATCAGATCTCAGTTTGCAGTTGAGGATTTTGCCTATTCCTCAGCTACCTTCCTAGGCTTCTCTCGGACGCACCTCCCCAACTCTTGCTTACACTCCCATCCAGCATGGCTGCGAAGGGAGACGGTCCCGCTATCGGTATCGATCTCGGTACCACGTACAGCTGCGTCGGCGTGTGGCAGCATGATCGCGTGGAGATCATCGCCAACGACCAGGGTAACCGTACCACGCCGTCCTATGTCGCCTTCACCGACACCGAGCGCCTCATTGGCGATGCTGCGAAGAATCAAGTCGCGATGAACCCCATTAACACTGTCTTCGGTAAGTCTTCCGACTTCCCACGCTTCGTTGACGAATGCTTTGCACTGACATGATACTCGCAATGACTGCTTGATTTCTAACTACTTGATTGACTGAACTTCTGATTACCTGAGCAGATGCGAAGCGTTTGATCGGCCGTCGCTTCTCAGACGCTCCCGTCCAGAGTGACATCAAGCTCTGGCCGTTCAAGGTTATCGCAGGCCCCGGCGAGAAGCCCATGATTGAGGTCCAATACAAGGGTGAGACGAAGCAGTTCGCCGCTGAGGAGATCTCGTCCATGGTGCTCATCAAGATGAAGGAGATCGCCGAGGCGTACCTCGGAACCACCGTGAAGAACGGTGTTGTCACCGTCCCCGCATACTTCAACGACTCGCAACGACAAGCCACCAAGGACGCCGGCGTCATCGCTGGGCTGAACGTGCTCCGTATCATCAACGAGCCCACCGCGGCTGCTATCGCGTACGGACTCGATAAGAAGGCCACCAGCTCCGGTGAGAAGAACGTGCTTATCTTCGATCTCGGCGGGGGAACCTTCGATGTGTCGCTGCTTACCATTGAGGAGGGTATCTTCGAGGTGAAGGCGACCGCTGGCGACACTCACTTGGGCGGTGAGGACTTCGACAACCGGCTGGTGAACCACTTCGTGCAGGAGTTCAAGCGCAAGTACAAAAAGGACATCACCAACAACCCCAGGGCCCTCCGTCGCCTCCGCACGGCCTGCGAGCGCGCCAAGAGAACGCTGTCGTCGACTGCTCAGACGACGATCGAGATTGACTCTCTGTACGAGGGTATTGACTTCTACTCCACCATCACCCGCGCCAGATTTGAGGAGCTCAACATGGACATGTTCCGCAAGGTTAGTCGCTCCTCCAATTTCCCTTATCCTTTCTATTGTATATTGTAGGCTGTGCGTTTTCTCTAGTTGAGCTTGTGATATTTTATGTTCTTTTGTTTCTTAGTGACCAATGTTCCAATTCTGTTTCCTTTCTGTTGTCCCTCTGTTCTATCTGCAGTGCATGGAGCCGGTGGAGAAGTGCATCAAGGACGCCAAGATGGACAAGGGGCAGATCCACGACGTCGTGCTCGTCGGCGGCTCTACCCGTATCCCCAAGGTGCAGCAGCTGCTGCAGGACTTTTTCAACGGGAAGGAGCTCTGCAAGAGCATCAACCCCGACGAGGCCGTCGCGTACGGTGCGGCTGTCCAGGCCGCCATTCTCAGCGGTGAGGGCAACGAGAAGGTGCAGGATCTGCTGCTGCTCGACGTCACCCCTCTCTCCCTGGGTCTGGAGACCGCCGGCGGTGTCATGACCGTGATCATCCCCAGGAATACCACCATTCCTACCAAGAAGGAGCAGGTGTTTTCGACCTTCTCCGACAACCAGCCCGGTGTGCTGATCCAGGTGTTTGAGGGTGAGCGCGCCAAGACCCGCGACAACCATCTTCTCGGCAAGTTCGAGCTGTCCGGCATCCCCCCCGCTCCTCGCGGCGTCCCCCAGATTACCGTCTGCTTCGACATTGACGCTAACGGTATCCTGAACGTCAGCGCCGAGGACAAGACTACCGGCCAGAAGAACAAGATTACCATCACGAATGACAAGGGCCGTCTGTCTAAGGACGAGATCGAGAAGATGGTGCAGGACGCTGAGAGGTATAAGGAGGACGACGAGCAGCACAAGAAGAAGGTGGAGGCGAAGAACTCGCTGGAGAACTACGCCTACAACATGCGCAACACCATCAAGGACGACAAGATCGCCTCCAAGCTGGAAGCCGACGACAGGAAGAAGATCGAGGACGCGGTGCAGGGGACCATCGACTGGCTGGACCAGAACCAGCTGGCGGAGGTGGACGAGTTCGAAGACAAGATGAAGGAGCTCGAGGGCATCTGCAACCCCATCATCGCCCGCATGTACCAGGGCGCGGGCGGCGCTCCTCCTGATGCGGACATGGATGGCGCTGGCGCCGGATTTGGCGGCGGTGCTTCCGGTGGCGGTGGCTCTGCTGGCCCCAAGATCGAGGAGGTCGACTAATTTGATGAAGCTGGTTGATTGTAGTGTGTAAACCTAGTTGAAATCCAACAATTTTGCAATTTCACTACCCAAGCAGTTGGTGAAAGGCCCTTATCCTTTTGATAGCATATGGTTGCCCAAGCCTGGTCTAGTCAGTAGCTTGACAGGGCGAACATGCTGCTTGACTCTAGGTGTGCGCCTGGATTTCGACCTTATGTAGATCACGGTGGCTAGGATTGTACTTCCAAGATAACATGAAGTGATGGTTACTGCCTGAAGAAGACCCCTGCTAGTCACCATCAAAGCTAATGCAATCCCTTCCTGAGGTAACATTAGACACCTCAGCTGAATACAGTTCAATCTCGTTCATATGCACAGAACTCTCCCCTTAGCATGAGATTGTCGCCTTCCAAGCGTGTTACTTGATCTTGAAGGGAAGACACCTGTGCCTCTAAAGAGGAAATCCTCTGGTCCTTCGCCTGCAGCTCCACCTGGCAGTTCATTCTGCAACAGCGTTAAGCACGGCAGGACAGATGGGCGAACACCAGGTGGAGTTGAACCCACAGGGAGGAGAAATACAACGAAGTAAAATGGCGAGAAAAAGCTGGAGAACAGTTTCTTCGGCCACTAAGGCTAGTGCATCAGAACATGTGTGGGAAACGGATTGAGTGAGCAGCTTACAGTTGGGTCATGGCTCGCTCAAACCGCAGCTGCAGCCGCAGCAGCGCCTGCAGCTCTTGCGAGGAAGACTCTTCCCTTGCCGTCCCACCATCCACAGGCCAGCCCCACCGAAAGACCCTCCAGATCTCCTCCTTTGGCCTCAACCCGCCTCCGCTCCTCCCGTTTCTCCCGCTATCACCACCTGCACATGATGCTACCACCGCCTGCGCTGCACCTGAACCTCTTCCTCTGCTACTTAGTCTCCCTGCTTCGGCTCCTCTCTCCACCGCTCCCAGCCTGCACGCCCCTCCCATTCCCTGACCACTCCTCTCTGCCCTGTTGACAATCTGTGCGTCCTTGTCCCTGCATCTCCCCTGGAGGGTCCTTTTACAACGTGATCCCTCACTTCCTTCCTCCCCCCCTCCTTCCCCGCCCTCCTCTCCATCCACTCCCCCTCCCCTTGCTTCCCCTCCTCCTCGCCTCTCTCGTCCCATTTCCATGCCTGATGCGTTGGACTGCCCAGCATGCCATCTCAATGCAGCAGAGGGCTCGGCACGTAACACACCTTCTGACACGCCCTGGGATGGCGAGAGCTCGGTCCAGGTGAGCATGGGCGGCATGACGGTATTGGTAGGAGAGGATGGCAGAGATGCAAACCCGGTTGAGTATCTCAAACTCGGAAGCCCGGAAGCGGTTGCAGTCACACTATCGGAATGTACGGCAGAGATGGCGGCTGCTGTGGATGATGTGGTTACAAGTGAATGCTCTGAAGGCAGTCTGGGGGGAGAGGACTTTTGAGTTGGCTCAAAAGAGATGGCCGCTGCTGTGGATGCTCCGGTGACAAGGCCTGCTGATGGCAGCCCGGGGGGAAGAGGCTGTGGCAGAAATGGCTCCGCTGCTGCTGGCTCACTTGCCAAATCTCCTGCTGGCAAAGCCTCTGCTGGTGCAGAGTCTGTTTGCCATACATCCACAGGCAATTCGCCCTGCACATGATCTCTGCACTGGCGCATAGCAGAGGAACCGGTGCCAACAGCCTTGGCTCCCCTCCCATCAGCTCCTGAACCTGCGCCCTCTGCTGCCTCACACGGTTGTTTCCTCCCCTCTCCCCCTCCCCCCAATCCCTCTCTCTCCACATCCCCCTCCCCCTCCCCTGCCACTCCCTGTTCCCCAGTCAACTCATCATCCTGTAAAGCAGAAAACTCCCTTTCATGTCCCTCTGTGGCCTCTTCTTCTTCCTCCTCCTCCTCCTCTCCCCCCTCTCCAAAGAACCCCACCACATCAGCAAAAGCAGCAGCATGCCCCAACCCCCTGGACTCTGCCAGCACTGCCAGCAGGGACGGCTCAAAGTGAGAGGCGTCACGCGGAGAGGAGTGGTGGGAAGAGGTGGTACCTGTCGACACAGGCACGGATCCCCCTCCAGCCAGCACACTTCGTGCCCCATTGACCAGTACTGAACGGTCTTGACTGTTACTGCCACATCGATCATCTGCTGCTTCTGCTGCTGCTGCTGCTAATGATGATGCCTGCATTTCAGATCCAATCTCTAATGGGTGGTGCTCACATGCGGTAAGGGACACTCCCTCCCCTTCCGGCAGCGCCTCTGCAATTGGTTCTCGTGGAACGGCTCCGATCCTCGCCACGTCACCCCTGCCATCGTCACCCCTGCCATCGCCACCCCTGCTCACAACATTCAAGGGATCCATCTGGTTTCTTCTGCTGCTGCCACCGCTGTTGCTGCTGCTGGCGATGAAAGTGGCAGCTTGTCTGGATCCTGCTGCGCCCGCGGGACAAGTGAATTCCCAGCCATCACTCATACTGGCAGCAGAGACTTCTGTATTCGTTGCTGGGTTATATTTAACCGTGGCTGGTCTTTCTGTTACCCTGGCCACGTCGCCAGGGTTTAATGAAGGAGATAGCCTGGCTAGTCGAGCCGTGATTGCAGCAACAGTGGGGGCTCTGCCTCTGTAAGTGGGAGTAGAACCGGCTACGATAGGCGTAGACCCTGTCAGCACGGGCGTGGATGCAGCTAGCATGGGCGTGGCAAACGCTGAGGCAGGCGTGCTCCAGTCGGCGTCGGAGCAGAGGGAGAGGAACGAGTCCGAGCGTGGCGACTCGAACGCACCATCATCGTCAGACAGCGAGTCACAACGTGCCGGCTCAGATGCCTCTCTGACAGCAGGAGAAGCGGCAGCAGCAGGCCGAGCAGTGGTACCGGCAGCCGTAACACGAGGTCGGCAAGCATCCAGTGCAAGGGACATGTCCGGTGCTGCAGCGAGTGAGGCAGGAATAGCTACTCCTGTTGCGCAAGTGGCCTCTATCACCCACTGCTCTACAGAGTGCTGCTGTAATGGTCGCAGCTCCCATGCCCGTCCCTGCTGCTGCTGCTGCTGCTCCTGGTGCTGCTGCTGTCGTTGCTGCTCATGCTGCTGCTGCTGCTGCGGCTGCCCGTTGTGTTGCTTCTCCCCATGTGGTTCGCATTCAGCCACGTTGGCAGAGGAAATGGTGGCGGTGAGCGGATTAGGTGCGGTATGGGTGGGTGAAGATGGAGAGAGGGGTGGATGGCGCGAGGATGAGGTGTTAGGGGCCTTACCATGTGATGGTGGGACATGGGATTGTGGTGGAGTGTACAAGGGCGGAGGGTAAGATGGGGGGTGAAGCGGTGGCATGGCATGGCCTGGTTGCAGGCTTTGTGACTGTTGGAGAGACGAGAAGCAGGAAGAGGAGGTGGAAGAGGAGACAAAGGAGGACGAGGAGAGAAGCGCGTCAGGGTTTAAGGCCAGCATTCCCACCGCGTGAGCGTGTACAGATAGAGACTCCACCTGGAAAGGGAAGGTGCGGAGCAGAGGAGAGTGTGAGAAACGGAGGGCCGAGAATCCACCACGTCAGCCGGTGCAGATAGAGCCTTCACCTGCGGAAGCAGGGTGACTGGGGAATTTATGTGAGCAAACGCAGGTGTATAAGAAGAATAGCTATCAGAATTACCCATCAGGTATCCAACAATTCAGCTTAAGCGATGTCTAAAACCAACCCTGCCCTCAACGCCAGCTAGGCAAGCGACGTCTAAAACCCCTAACCCAAATTGCCCACAGGGGTGTACGAGCAACCTGTCTGCTGCTGGAGTAGAAATCTAAAGCCAGAATCTATGGTGTTCCACGTCCACTTTTTTTGAGTCGACTAAAAAATCAACTCATTACACACGGGTTTTGAGTCGACTAAAAAACCAGAATCTATGGTGTTCCACGTCTACTAAAGTGCAGCGATGCCACGGCAGCAGTGACAGACAGCAGCACCATCCACGTGTGCGCTGCTCCACTGTGTTACACCTACAGCCACACACCCGTTCTTGAAACGGTGCTATATCCAGTGCCCCACGCCAGACACCCTTACCTGCAGGGATGCGCCAGCAGCAGTGACTGACAGCAGCTCCATCCACCTGTGCGCTGCTCCACACTGTGTTTGTTACACCTACAGTCACACCCCCGTTCCTAAAGTCCACTGCTCGATTGTGGCACATCCAGTGCCCCACGCCAGGGCCCCTCACCTGCAGGGAAGCGCCAGCAGCAGTGACAGACAGCAGCTCCATCCACCTGTGCGCTGCCTGCTGGCTCTCCGCTGCCAGGTGGTGCGATCCCATTGGCCCTCGGATGTCTGTGGCGGGGCAGGGGGAGACGAATTCAATCAAAGTTTGTCAGGGGCTTGAAACAGGTGCAGGGGAGGGGAGGTAAGGCTGGGGAAGACGAGAAGTATGACGGAAAAGGGAGCACGGCAGGCTGGGAAGGTGAGCAACAGTAGCAGGAGCAGGTGGGGTGGCTTGGCTGGGAGGGGAGGTGTGCATGGAAGGGGCAGGAGAGAAGGGCGCTCGGGTTTCGGAAAAGGGAGCAAGACGGGCGGGGAGAAGGAACATACAGAAGCAGCACCAGGTGGGGTGGCTGGCAGGGGAGCTGCACGCATGACACAGGGGAGAACCACGAGGCAGAGAGAGACAGACAGAGGGGTGGGGAGAATCAGGGCGAGGGGATCTGGAAACGGCGAGGCGATTGCTAAGTCAATCCGAGAACTATAGCGGAGGAAAGAGTGTGACCAAGGGAGGGCGTAGAGGGAGAACTGTGGAGGAAGAAATGAGACCAGTTGGGCAGACTGACCACTGTGACTCTGGAAAGCGAGGGGATAGCGAGAGGGAGAATGGATTCACCGGCTGTTAGGTAGGAGGGGGGGAAGAAGGCGGAGGGGAGGGGGGAAAAGAGGCAATGCCAGGAACAAGAAGGTCAGACCACCCACCTCAGCACCCCTACACTCGCGTCCACCAATGGAATCGTGCCACGTAAGCTCGCATCCCTCTGCCTGATCTTATACAGCAGCCTAGGAGCCCCTCTATGCAGGACGAACCAGCGGCGCCGCCACTGCCGCAGCTGGTCGCTCAGCTTCCACAGCTCGCCCTCCAGCGACTGACCCTCCACCAGCTGGGACTCCGCCAAACCGCGTGGCTCGTGGATGGCCCACGTTGCCATTGAAAATCCTGTAACTAAGCGACCCAAGGTTATCTCAGGATCCGTTGACTCAAAAGTCTCTCTCCAGTGCCTGGCCCTCCACGAGATGAGGCTCCGCTAACCCGCGTGACTCGCGGAGGGACCAAGCCGCCATTGGATCTCCTGAACTGCCTTTCACGTCGACTCAAATAGCCCCCTAAGAAACGCTTAGCCTTCCAGAACCTGGGACTCTGCCAACCCGCGTGACTCGCGGAGGGACCAAGCCACCATTGGAGATTCTGTAAGTGACTGGTTGTTGGAAACCCGAGGGTACCAGTACCCGCCAGCGCAGACGTCTGGCTTTACACAAGCTCAGAGTTGGCTAATCCGCGTGACTCGCAGAGGGGCCAAGCTGCCATTGAAACTGAACGAACTTGTCTTTCGTCGTTTTTCACGAGCTGAAGCGGAGCGGAAAAGAGCGGTTCGGTAATATCACGACAGGTGAATTTGATGTGTTTTTACATGCGACTCGAATCTCCAAAATGGCAGACGAACCAAAAGAAATATACACGATGATCGGCGTGTGACGCCGAGACGATAAACGGATCATCGACCCACAGACACAAACATATCGTATGCCGGCACCACGAGTCGTCGCCAGGTTGATGGTTAGGCCACACAGGAAACACCTAGTCGGCGGCTGATTGACAATTTGGTCTAGTCTACATCGACTCTAGCTGATAATATTTCTTCAATATAAGCTAAGGATGATGGGAAGCATGGTGTATGCATTTAGACTCGCGTGGCTGGCGGCAACTTCCAGGTTTCATCTCGCGTGGCGTCGTACATCCCATTCTGACATTTGTGCCAGAAGTACGTGTGACCCAGCTCGCCACGCTAGTAGCACAGTTGCAGTCATGTGCTCGTCTGAAACATCAAGAGTCCTCTTGGGTCGCGCACTTGAAACGAAGTTGCACTGCTCAGCGAGAAAGACGGTTACATGCGCGACGTTTGCGAAGGCTCAGGCGACCCTTCTACTCTTCCTGACGAAAGCGATGTGAGCAGCCCAACTCCGTCTGGTTCGTGAACTGAAACGAATGGCTGTCCTTCGGTCGTACAGCTTGTTCCAATACATCTCTGGGCGAAAAACGGGTTACCCCTGTCTCGCGACCTAATTCAATGTCACGAACACTGCTGGATGGTCAGCCGTGCGAACTCCCGACAGTAACCCTGCACTTCGTTAGTGCTATGGGAGGTGTCAGCAGAGCCATCCATGTCGTCCAGCGATATTCGCAACAGATTTCGCGAACTGCGTTTTTGGTGGTTGGTGGTTCGTTGGAGAAAGTCGTCCAGCAACACTGGCATCTGCTTGCCTGGAACCTTTCACTCCGTAGCCTTGCTGTGTGGAGGCGCAGTTGATCGCCCGCCTCCTTCCTTGATTGCTCAGGCTCGCCTTGCGTAGTCAGCTCCATTACGCGAGGTGACGCGTGGGTGCCCGTAGATTCTGGAGGCATCGTCCTCGTATTTCCACACAGGACGTCCTTAACGTTCATTCGAGACAATCGCTCGCGGTTTGCACCGATTCTATCCCCATATCGAGCGATTATTCCTCTCGAGCTTCGGCGGCGACGGTAACCATGCTCGGGCCGGACGTGCCTCATCGCGTGGGTTCAGACAGCCGCGACGATGGCGCCTTCTCCTTCTTCGTAAGCCCTCGCGGACTGCGCTCGGGACACCGTCGTAGTGACTCAACTTATGTTTACGAGTTGGCCTAGAAATCCGAAGAGTTTATCAGGGAGTGTGAAGCATAATTCTCATAATTCCCGTCTCCCGTCTGACTCGTTCCCACGTTTTGATGCGTCTTGAAATCCCTAACAGGGCGGAGCCAGCACCGCGAGCACCAGCAACGCCACCGCCAGCACCGGCACCAAGGAGCCTGAAGCTAGCTCCGCCTCCCTCCACCCATTCGCCGCGTTCTCCTCCGCCAAACAAGTTTCCACCGCAAATATTAACAGCAACACCGCACCCGATGGCACCGAAACCAACGCCACTTCATCCACCACAACTGCGCACCCCTTCCGACCCCCTGGAAAGAGCCAATCAGCCGCCGCCACGTCGTCTCTCGCCTCCCCTCCCATGGTAGCTCCTGCGTCCACGCCTCTTGAGAGAAGCAGAGAGACCGATGCACGCGCTGCCAGCACTGGGGGAGCAGCAGGGGGTGCTACAGTGAACAGTGCTACAGCAGTGGCAGCATCAGGAGCAGCAGCAGCAGCAGCAGGTGGGGGTGCAAGGCGTCAGCCGCGGAAGAAGTTCATTCCGGAGCAAGGCATGGGGCAGATGAGCTGGCGCAAGGCCAGCGCTGCTGCTGCCAACGACATAGCTCGTACGTGCCAGGGCTTGGGATAGTGTGTGTTCTGGACGTTTTGGTACCGTCTGGTCAGACGCACTCGAAACTGTACTGTACGGTGCAATTCTGACTCCAGTTGGTTATGCGGTTCAGAATGGCGCGACACGAAGCTGAAAAGGGGCTCGTCTGATAAGGGGTCCTATACACGCGCTCTTAGTGTACTCGTGGTTGCGTAGTCACTTCATTATCACGACAGCGAGTGCTAGTTTTTCCATCTTACAATGTGTGCACTGGCTTCCTCTTCTCTTTTTATCCCCCAGGGTACCGCATGATGCATGGAAAGGTTACTCTTTCCACGTGTGTCAATCCGTGTTGCTCCCTATTCGCCCCATTCCAGGGTACCGCATGCAGCACCAAGGGGCGATACGCATGGAAGAGGTGAAGAGACACAAGAGGGAGGACGACGCGTGGACCGTGGTGCGCGGGAGAGTGTACAACATCACGCCCTACCTCGACTTCCACCCGGGAGGTGAGTCGGGTGCATAGGCGTGTTTGCCTGAATGCCTTGTCTCTGACGTGCTTGCCTGAATGCCTTGTCTCTGACGTGCTTTACTTTATTGCTGTTGGCGCGCTCTGCTGCTGTGGTGCGACGGAGAGTGTATAACATCACGCCCTACCTAGACTTCCACCCGGGAGGTCAGTCACATGCACAGGCGTGCTTGCTTCACTGTCTTGTTACATGAGCGCTTCCCTCGCTGTATTGCAGCTTCTGTGGTGCCAAGCAGAGTGTGCAATATGGAGGAATGGGGCTCTTGCTCTACCTGGACTTCCACAGTAAAAAAGCTGACCAATGTGCTTTGCTTATTTTTTTAGCTTGCTTTTGTTTCGACTGAACAGGGACGAAGGCCATGTAACCGTGGTCTCGCTTTTGTAACGATGTGTGAACCACCCCCGTGACCTGTGACTGCAGGGAAGGCAATTCTAATGAAGGGGGCTGGCAAGGACTGCACTGCGCTCTTCAGTACGCTCACTTGCCCCTCCCCTCTCTTGAATGGCCCTCAATGCTTCTCTCTCACCCCTCTTCTCTGACATTGAGATCCCTTTTTTCCTCCTACGCTTTCCCTCGCAGTCCATTGTTCCAGCTCCTTTTTTCTGTTTTGTTTGTTTTGTTGACTGGTATAGCCAACTCATTCACATTCTCCTCCAAATCTTCTCCCCCCCAATAGACAAGCACCATGCATGGGTGAACGCTGAGTTTTTATTGGACCAGTGCTTCCTCGGCATGCTCATTCCCGATGACTGACTCGCCACGTGCTGACAACTCAACTCATGCCAGTAGCATGCTCTACCTGTGCTGCCTGACGCGCCTCCTGGCCCGCTGCATGCTCATTCCCAATGACTGGCTGTGAGGGGAGCCGAACCATGCGTGCTCGCTGCTCACTGCTCAGCATGCTAACTGTATGCTCCGATACCACCTGCATGCATGTCCATGCATGTGAGGCCGCGGACTACCACCACCTGCGCATCCTGCTGGGACTGCTACTACAGTAGCATATGAGCCTTCATTGCTAACTGGTTGTTCTGATATGAAGATTAGTGCTACCCATTTATTAGTGCTTCCCTGAGCCACTAGGCCTCTCCATGCCACTATGCTTCCCCGCGCCACTATTCTACCCCGTGCCACTGTGCTTCCCCCTGTGCCACTATGCTTGCCGGCACCACTAAGCTTCTACCCATGGAAGCAGTAACAGTTTCAGGGCAGTGAACTGGACTGCACTGGCATAATGGATGGTCAGGTCAGAGGACACTAGAGAGAGCCGAGGGAACATGGTGTGGACAACGGCCCTAAGAGGAGGTGTTACACTGCTGGTTACCACCTCGCCTGTCAACTTATACATATTATCTATGTAGAAGTTATAGGCTAGACTGAGGTATGCTTCTAGTGAGTACAACCAACTAGTATTTGTTCTAGGTTTCCACCTCTAGTAATCATTCGTTTCTACGTTAACATGGTATCACGCTTAGGTTAGGATCCCCCCGCCTACCGCTTCCGCCCGTCGCGCCTCCTAGGCCCCGTCGCGCCCCCTCGGCCCCGTCGCGCCCCCCCTGGGCCCCGTCGCGCTCGTTAGGCCCCGTCGCGCCCCCCCTGGGCCCCGTCGTGCCCGCTGGGCCCCGTCGCGCCTCCTAGGCCCCGTCGCGCTACCCCTGGGCCCCGTCGCGCCCACTGGGTCCCGTCGCGACCCCTAGGCCCTAACGCGCCCCCGCTGGGCCCCGTTGCGCCTCCTAGGCCCCGTCGCGCCCCCCATGGGCCCCGTCGAGCCCGCTGAGCCCCGTCGTGCCTCCTAGGCATCGTCGCGCCTCCTAAGCCCCGTCGCGTCCCCCCTCTCTGGGCCCCGTCGCGCCCGTTCGGCCCCGTCGCGCCCCTCCTAGGCCCCGTCGCGCCCGCTGGGCCCCTTCGCGCTTCCTAGGCCCCGTCGCGCCTGCTAGGCCCCGTCGCGCCCCCCCTGGGCCCCGTCGTGCCCGCTGGTCCCCGTCGCGCCTCCGCGGCCCCGTCGCGCCCCCCCTGGGCCCCGTCGTGCCCGCTGGGCCCCGTCGCGCCCCTTAGGCCCCGTCGCGCCCGCTGGCCCCTGTCGCGCCTGCTGTTAGCGCTCGCCCGCCTGGCCTCCTCCTAGTGCCGCTCGGCCTCCTCCTAGTGCCGCCCGGCCTCCTCCTAGTGCCGCCCGGCCTCCTCCTAGTGCCGCCCGGCCCCTTCCTAGCGCCGCCCGGCCTCTCCTCAGCGCTGCCCGGCCCCTCCTCGTGCCCGACCGGCCCCAGCAGCACCAGCCTGGCCCCTCCCAGCACCAGCCCGGCCCTAGAGCACCTGCCCGCCTCCCCTGCTCGGCCTGCCGTGTCCTCTCGGGCCCTGTGTCTTCTGCTTGCCTGCGCTGGGACGCCTAGCTGCTGCCCTACTGGAGAGTGCTGCCGCCGTGTCCCCGCGCCGCTGTGCTCCTGTGCCGCTGAGGAGCTGTGCTGCTGTGCCGCTGTGTCGCTGAGGAGCTGTGCCGCTGACCCTGCACGATGGCTGACTTTGTGCTCCGCCTGGACGCTGAGGGCCACGCGGTTGACTTCGCCGCCTGGCTCTCCGATCTTCGCCGCCAGCTTACAGGTCAGCGCCAGGATGGCCACTCTCTGGTTGTCCATGCTGATGGCTTGCTCCCCCGTCCCCCTGCACCTACTCCCCTCCCTGCTGACCCCTCCTCTGATGACCGTGAGGCTTTCTCTACTGCTGCGCTAGCCTGTGCGGTCTGGGACTCACGCGATGCAGTAGCTCAGGTTGCTATTAGTCACGCCCTCCCTGTGTCTGAGCGCTCGCGTTTTGCTACTGTTGAAACGGCCAAAACTTATTTAGACGCCGTTATTGCTCGCTATTCCATCCCTGCCTCCGCTTCT